GCGACATCTTCAAGTACTTCGGAGGTTGCTGACGTCAACAGTTGCATTGTCAATTAGTAGGCTAGTAGTAGCTGTGTGGGGAGCAGATTGGGCGTCGAGCGCCAAGTAGGGAGATAGGGACTGGATACATATGTTGGTGGTGGCGAGAGCAAGCTCTCATTGACATTGGTTTTCAGTGCTACGATTCTCCATTGGTGTCATATTGGTGCAATGCTGTTTTCTGAACACTGTGATATGATCTGGCTTTCAATGTGATTGTGGAATCTGATTATTGTCATCTCGCTATTGCTCATTTCCCTTGCAAGGCTAATTCTTTAAGCCCAACCAATTCAAATACGTGTCGAAAGGGTTCTTTCTTTCTTTCTTCTCCGTTGCTCTCTGTATTGTTACTCAGTGATGTGGTTGATTGCTAACAAGGGACCAAATCCCACTAGCAGCGTTGAGTTTCCTCAATGCCTGAATGCGGACGTGTTCATGGAGAGGTGCAGAAAATCGCAACCCTCCAGTTTACTCAACCCCACATCGCCACAAACACATTCAAGTTCGGGCATTTTGAGGAAAATCAATGTTGCTACTAGGACTTTGCCCCAATTTACTCCGATACTTAGACGACTATGTTGATGATTGTTATTTTACGAAGTTGCTTTGATTCAATAAGAATTGTAGGGCCTGATGACTTCTAATTTGTAAATCAAAAAAGAAGAAAGAAAAGGCAAAAAATTCTTAAAAGAAGAAAAGAGTAATAACAGTGAAAGTGTTGTATTGTCGCATACATCCGCCATTCCTTAGGTATTAGTGGATGGAAAAAGGAGAGGGGAGAGGGGGTGGGGGGAGCGGGAGGGGAGGAAAGGGGGGGAAAGGGGAGGGGAGGGGGAGGCACGCTCAGTCGGACCCTCCATCCGATCTAAGATTACGGACCCTTGCCGCACCACTCACCAAATGCACAAAAGACAAAAACGATGGTCGTGTATCTTTCCATGTTCTACTGAAAAATTCGTTCTCATTTGTAGATTTGGTGAGTGGTGCGGCTAGAGCTTATACGCCATCACTAAAAAACAATGCTGGCTACAGACCCATCCTCTAAGGAGAGCCCACATAAGCAGTCACCGGAAGGCAGGGTTCACATCGAGCAGAGGATGAGTCGAAAAACAGCCTGTGAGGTTGTAGCGCCGACTCGAGGCTCGCACGGGCGAAAGCAAAGCAATCAACCGCGACCATAGTCACATAGTAACAATGAGCACGGGAG